ACAAGGGAACCGTTAGGAAAGATAATGAAAAACGCTGTCTGTAAAATCTGCTGGACAATAATGCTGTAAATTCTAAAAAAAACATATAATGCTATTACAGAAAAATATTTCAAATTGATAGATTTTGTGATAGGCCCACAATTGTTTGCTAAATTATTTTCCATATTTTTCTGTATGTTGCAATGAGCCGAGATCACGCCACTGCACTCCAGCCTGGGCAACAGAGTGAGACTCTGTCTCAAAAAATACATATATATATATATATATATATAAAATAATTAAAAATTTAAATAAACATATATTGGACATGGTTAAAGTATTACTCAGACAAAAATTGAGCTTTAAATATGCTCATTATAACATTAAAATATCAAAAGAGGAAAATGTGAGAAAGAAAACAAATGAGTTAAGTGTTTAACAGAAGCTAATAAAAAGTAAGATAATAAATCCAAAGAAATGGGGAAAATGGAAATATAAGATAAGAACAAATCAATGAAATAATGAAAAATGATTAACATGAAGATTAACAAAGGAAAAATCAGTTCTTTGAAAACAGTAGTAAGATAGCAAACCTTTGATAAGACTGAGTAAGATAAATCAGAAAAAGAATAAGTAAAACACATCCTGAAAAGGAGATCTACAAACAAGTAATTTTTAAAATAGTTTTTAAAAATATGAACAAACATGTAACAATACATTTGGAATTTGTTCAAAAAGGATTAATTTATATAAAGGATATAAAATATTAAAATGGACAGAAGAATAAATGGAAAACTTGAATAGAGTGTAAAAGTTAAAGATATTGAAATGGTAATAAAATGTCTCCTCCAACAAAACCCTTGGGAAAAGGATAGGGAACCCAAGAAAGGAATAAATAGAGGCAATGAATATGAAAAGATAATTCACAGAAGAAAATCTGAGTGGCTATGAAATGATCCTAGTGGAGAAATGCAACTTCAAATGAGGTCCTACCTTTTACCTATTAGATTGGCTAAAATTAGGAAAATGAAAAATACCAAAGTGCCCCCAACTAAGGACTGTTGTTTCTAGTGTGGACCAGACCCCATTCCTGCACTGCTGCTCCAGTGCATCTCTCAGAAAATCTGTTCCCTCCCTCCTTCCCTCCCTCCCTCCCTCCCTTCTTTCCTTCCTCCTTTCCTTCCTCCTTTCCTTCCTCCTTTCCTTCCTTCTTTCCTACTTCCCTTCCTTCCTTCCATCCTTCTTTCCTTCCTTCCTTCCTTCCTTCCTTCTTTCCTCCCTTCCTTCCTACTTCCCTTCTTTCCTTCCATCCTTCTTTCCTTCCTTCCTTCCTTCCTTCCTTCCTTCTTTTCTTATTATATTTTCTTTCTCTTTTTGTTATTTTATATTGGCATGGACATAAAATACACACATCATGAATGTACTGCTTGATGATTTTTCACAAAATGAACTCACGGAATCATCACCATCAAGAAATAAAATGCTTCTTGTACATGAGAAGTCCCATTATGCCTCTCCCATTATGAGCCACCATGCCAAGCTTATTTAACTTTTATTTTTGAAGAAAATTCAAAATGATTGCATAGTTCTAGATTGCCAGTTAATTTCTTTCAGCATTTTAAAGATGTTTTATTGTCTCCTAGCTTTCACTGTTTCTGTCATCCATATTTTTGTTTGTTTGAAGTTAAGATGCCTTTCTTTTCTCACTGCTTTTAAGAGTTTTGTTCTGTCTTTGATGTTTAGAAATTTCATTATGATGGGCCTAGGTGTGTGTTTTCTTTGATCTTTTCCTATTTTGAGTTGTAGTGCTTCCTAAATGTGTGGTGTGATGTTGTTTGTCAACACATGGTATTTTCAGCTGATAATCTCTTCCAATATTACTTCTGCCTAATTCCTTCTTTATCCTTCTGATCTCATCATTTATGGACATGGGCTTTGGGAGAATGTTAATTAATATGTCCAAGAAAATAGGGAACATGATGGAGAATTTTGACAGAGAACTGGAATATATAAAAGAAAACAAATTAAAAGTAACTGAAACTTAGAACACAATAGTAGATTGAATAGCAGATTCAAGACAGTAGAAGGAAGGGTTATTAAATGGAAGATAAGTCTGTAGAAAATATCTGGCATGAAGCTCTCTGGATGGATGAAAATATATATTTTCATTGAAAATTCCTGATTTTTGGTTTTCCAAAAAAAGTCAAAATTTTTGTCAACATTGAATTTACATCCCTCATAATTTCAGTGTGCCTGAGTTGATGAGTTGATGATGTGCTCCGTATACAGGGATATGTACTCCCAACTAGCCAGAGTCACTCCTTTCTATTATCTTCTACCAATGAGGCTGAATATTAGTTGTCATGGCTTATATCATCCCTTCTCTGCTCCACACATTTACATTGCATGCTGGGCATGCTATGTATTTGAGTTCATGGTCCATGTTGAAGATGCCATAAAGATACCCAAAAATGTGAAAGAGACTTGGAACTGGGTAACAGGCAGAGGTTGGAACAGTTTGGAGGACTCAGAAAAAGACAGGAAGATGTGGGAAAGTTTGTAACTTCCTAGAGACTTGTTGAATGGCTTTGACCAAAATGCTGATAGTGATTTGGATAATGAAGTCCAGGCTGAGGTAGTATCAGATGGAGATGAGGAACTTGTTGGGAACTGGAGCAATTGTTATGTTTTAGAAAAGAGATGGGCAGCATTTTGCCCCAGCCCTAGAGATCTCTGGAACTTTGAACTTGAGAGAGGTGATTTAGGGTGGAAGAAATTTCTAAGCAGCAAAGCATTCAAGAGGTGACTTGGGTGCTCTTAAAAGAATTCATTTTTATGCTTTCACAAAGAGATGATTTGTAATTGGAACTTATGTTTAAAAGGGAAGCAAGGCATAAAATTTTAGAAAATTCACAGCCTAATGATGCAATAGAAAAGAAAATTCCATTTTTCTGAGGAGAAATTCAAGCTGGCTGCAGAAATTTGCATATGTAACAAGCAGCCAAATGTTAATCCCCAAAACAATGGAGAAAATGTCTCCAAGGCATGTCAGAGGTCTTCATGGCAGCCCCTCCCATCACAGGCCTGGTGACCTAGGAGGAAAAAATGGTTTTGTGGGCTGGGCCCAGGGCCTTGCAGCTTTGTGCACTCTCAGGACTTGGTACCCTGTGTCCCAGCCATGGCTAAAAGGGGCCAATGTACAGCTCAGGCTGTTGCTTCAGAGGGTGCAAGCCCCAAGCCTTGGAGGCTTACATGTGGTGTTGGACCTGTGGGTGCACAGAAGTCAAGAATTGAGGTTTGAGGACCTCTGCCTGGATTTCAGAGGATGTACGGAAATGCCTGAATTTCCAGGCAGAAGTTTGCTGCAGAGGTGGAGCACTCATGGAGAACCTCTGTTAGAGCAGTGTGGAAGGGAAATGTGGGGTCAGAGCCCACAGACAGATTCCCCACTGGGGCACTGCCTAGTGGAGCTGTGAGAAGAGGGCCACCATCCTCCAGACCCCAGAATGGTAGATCCACTGACAGCTTACACCATGCACCTGGAAAAGCTGCAGACACTCAATGCCAACCTGTGAAAGCAGCCAGGAGGCGGACTTTACCCAGCAAAACCATAGGGGTGGAGCTGTCCAAGACCGTGGGAACCCATTTCTTGCATCAGTATGACCTGGTTGTGAGACAGGGAGTCAAAGGAGATCATTTCAGATCTTTAAGATTTGACTGCTTGGATGGAATTTGGAGTTGCATGGGGCCTGTAACCCCTTTGCTTTGGCCAATTTCTCCCATTTGGGATGGAGCATTTATCCAATGCCTGTACCCCCATTGTATCTTGGAAGTAACTAACTTGCTTTTGATTTTACAGGCTCCTAGGTGAAAGAGACTTACCTTGTCTCAGATTAGACTTTGGACTTGGAATTTTGGGCTAATGCTAGAATGAATTAAGACTTTGGGGTACTGTTGAAAAAGGATGATTGGTTTTGAAATTTGAAAGGGACATGAGATTTGAGAGGGGCCAGGGTGAAATGATATTGTTAGGCTTTGTGTCCCCACCCAAATTTCATCCTGAATTGTAATCCCCATAGTCCCCAAATGTCAAGGGAGAGACTGGGTGTAGGTAATTGAATCATGGGGGCAGTTTCCCCAGTGCTGTTCCCAGAATAGTGAGTTCTCATGAGATCTGGTGGTGTTAAAAGGGGCTCTTCCCCATTTGTTCTGCAATTCTCCTTCCTGGCACCATGTGAAGAAGGTGCCTGGCTTCCCCTTCACCTTCTGCCATGATTGTCAGTTTCCTGAGGCCTCCCCAGCCACGCTGAACTGTGAGTCAATTAAACCTCTTTCCTTTATAAATTAACCAGTCTTGGGCAGTTCTTTTTAGCAGAATGAAAACAGACTAACACAAAGAGTCTAGCAATAGAGTGGAGAACAACATAGTTACAAGCCCTGCCCTCAGGGAAAATAAAACAATCATCACATAAATAATTAGAATTGTGATAAATATTCTGAAATAAAAGTAAAAAATGCTAAGAGATCCATCATATTTTCCAGTTGGAAGGCAGGGAATGTTTCTCCCAAAAAGGTTATTTAAGCCGAGTTCTGAAGATAATATGATTTAGTCAGATGAAGGCCTGGGTGTATGTGTGTTGGTGGGGAATGGACGGAGAGAGATGATCTAGCCTGGAAGAGTTGGACAGGTCTGAGGATTCAAAGCAAGACAGTAGGGCTGGAAACACAGATATGAGCAGAAACTGTGTTGTACTGGGCTGCTGAGTCTAGAAAAATACATAGGATTTTGGATGCCTTTGCAGACCAAGCAGCTAAGGACCAACACGTTTCATGGTGACTTGATGGTGTACAAATTTGGTCCCTCTGATACGTCTTCTAGTTGAAGTAATTTATCACTGTGAAATTAAGTCATCAAGTATAAGATGACTGGCTGACTTTTAGCCTGGTAGACAAGCTATTGACCTGGTATGATGAAACATCACTGAGTTTATTTTTATGCCTTTGTTTCCTCTCTGTCTCAGCTGCAAGTGTCCACTGCTTGGGAAAGTGTGGGAAGCTGACTTGGAAGCTTGTCGATTGCTTATCCAGAGCCTACAACTCCAGGAAGCCAGGGGAAGCCTGTCTGTAGAAGATGAGAGGCAGATGGATGCCTTAGAGGGAGCTGTTTGTATAGCTGCTCCTCCCATTCCCCCCAGGCTCCACTCCGAGGATAAAAGGAAGACCCCTTTGCAGGCATTGGAAGAATGGAAGGCTCACCTCATCCCCTCTCTGTACTGTGCTGGAGGCGAACAGAAAGAGGTCTGTCCTTTCCACATGGTCTCTAGAGGGGACCCCTATTCTAAGGGGTGCTTTGGGACCAGGCTCCAAATGGGAACAATATATATTGGGAGGGCTTCCCATTGAGCATATAAACTTTTAAAAGTTTCAGTAACTTCAATATGATTACAAAATAATGTAGAATTTTTGTCAAAGTTTGAAATATAGAAGAGCAAAAAAACCCAACTTTTGGCATATTTAGTTCCATTTTCATTCTAATTTAGTGGCTAAAATTAGAATATGCAGTCTAATATAGAATTACCATATATAGCATACATTATATATGTCATATATAACATAGTTATCATATACACTATAGATTATATATGCCATACATGATATTTGACATATATACTATACATTATATACCATGTATCATATGTTGTTTAATTATATATTTAGAATCTATATATTACAATATATTACTATTTATTTGAATGAAACATTCAAATATATGTATTTATCCCATTAATTGTTTTTATCAAAACCAGATCGTAATGAATATTTATAATATTCTTCTTTCATAAACACAACTAAAGTTTGGCCTGAGATATATGTATTACAAATTAAAATATGGTTTTATTTAACTTTACTTTTCTCTCCCCTCTTTCCTCTCTCCCTTCCCCTTCCTCTTCTCACTTTCCTCCTCCCGCCGTAACAAGAGTCTTTTCCATAAAAAGGCCCTGGGAAGTTTTTCCTGATTTCAGTGCCATGACCTGAGTCTTCAGAGCTCTTTGTTGGCCCAGGTTCCCAGGTGTTCTGAGTGTGAAAAGGAAATAGCATAGAGAGGCTGGAGGAACGTGACACATGGCCTTCAGGTCTCATGGTTGATGTTAGATGTTAGCTGTGCTTCCTCCCTGGGTCTTTGCCAGGACTCACCACTGGTGGGTGAGGAAATTGTTGCCTCCCCAGGCCAGCCCTGGCAGCCTCACATCCCCTCTGCAGGACCATGACCTTCAAAGAGCAGACATTTGTGTTCTTAGTCACTGCCTCTGGACTGCTTGGAAAATTGATCCTTGATCCTATATTTGGATTCCGTGGTCTTATAAGAAAGCAACCATTGTCACTCTGCATCCTTGCTGGCCCAATCACAGGTTTTACTATAATTTATAGACATCTGACCTCTTTTGTTAACCCAGTTGCTGCAGGTGGAATCCTCCAGCAAAACCTGGTTTCCAGTGCTCTGGGTAGAGGTGTTGAAAAGTTACCACGTGCTGCAGGTGGATGGTTTGAAAGAATATTCTGGGATGGAGGGAAGTGCCACCTAAGCAAGGGTTTATTCCCGGGTGGAAGAAACTGCAGGCTCTGGAAATGAGTCTTTGAAGGTGTGGCTGGCTTTTCAAAGTGAGCTTCCGGGAGGAGCTCAGTGTGGGGCAGTCAGAAGCCATGCCAGGTATGTGATGGAGTCCATGGGTCATTGATTCTGCTGGAGGCCAGGACTGATTCAGCAGAGATCCCTTACTCCTGTAGGGGAGAAAAATCATTATCTTTCCTTTATGCATCTAAAGGTTCTCAGCTGAGGCCCCTATACAGACAGAGTAACAAGAGAAAAATGTGCAAATTTGCTTTATATAAAATTTACATGACACAGGAGGCTGCAGAAATGAAGATCCAAAGCAACAGAAACCAGTGTATTTTTATGCTTAAGTTTGAAGAATAGCAGACAGATGTGGAGAAGTATAATTGGACAAAAGGAATAGGATCTAATGGCAATAAACTGCGGGGAGCTTAGCAAGGCCTGTTTGCTCAGATTCTTCACTGCATCCCTGTGTCTTCAGAGATAAGGACACTCCTTTCCTTTGGGTATAGGTTGTACACTTTAAGGATGAGGGTGGTCAGCGGTGGTTAGAGGAAGGTCAGAGAATTATCTGTGGCCTGCTTCAGGAGAGAATGGCTGCGGAAGGTCAGAGAGACTCCTGCTTCTGCTGTTCCTCAAATGCCAAGGTGCCATATTTTGGGGTAGTGCATTCTGAACCCCATCACTCTCTTCCTCCCTCTTTCCCTGCTTCTCTGCCCTTCCCACTGAGCCCTGAGCCCTCCATGCTCTCTGAGGACAGACTTTCCCAGGCATAGGAGGATTCATTTTCCTGCATAAGATTATAAGCACCTGTCAATTTCACTATCTGGCTATAAGAACACAGAGCTATATTTGTTGAAAAATAGGAAGCTTGGGGTCAAGGATGAATAAAGAGTGGAACCTTATCCTAGGTCCTGTGGTGGCTGCTGTTTGGGTGCTCCAGGGGTCCCCCAGAAAGCCTCCCAGATCCTCTCCACCAACTGAAATGCTGAGGATGTCCTATATTTATTTGTTGCCGTCTTGGGGGAGAGTGGGTGCTTTAGAGGGGACCTTATAGCTTTTGCTGGCTTTCGCTATCATTTCCCTGTGCCCGTATCGCAGTGGTGGGTTTGTGTTCACAGAGAGGGCAGCCGTTCTTTGAATTCATGAGCGCCATGGATTTTAAGATGATGTTTTCTGAGAAGGGCAAAATTGTGGGGTCACAAAAGAGATCAGCTGTTGCTGGGAAAGGGGAAGGGACTCATTCCAAGAGCAAAATCTGGGGTATGGAAGTTGGGGGCGGGATGATAGATGTATTCTCTCTCTTGATTGTGGTGGTAGTTATGTGAGTATGCATATGTCTAAATCCATAACTTTATATCAGAAAGAGTGAATTTTACTGTGTATGACTTAACAACAGTGATTTAAAAACATTTTTTTAAATGTCTACCTATTTAAAAACTGGGCTATAGATGCTTGAGTCAGTGCTTTTGTCTCAGGACTGTCAAAAGGCAGTTTGGCCTGCCAGAAAGAGCACAAGGCTTGAGTCTGAGTCTGCTGTGATCCTCAGTTAGGCCTCTTACAGGCTGCATCTCCACATCTGTTAAGAAAAACACCACGACGACATGAGAGGATAATGAAAACTATCTCATGAAGCTGTGATGAAGATTTAAATAAAAGGATGCATCTCCAAGTGAGAGATGCATACATAGTAGAGGCTAATTTGTGTTAATTTTTGTTCCTATCACTCTTTCTGGCAGTCACAAGCATCTCTAAAATGCTTTTTGTATGCCTAATGCTAGCAACAGCTATTTGTTTGGAAGAGGGTGTTGCATGACTCAGTCTCCAGGCTTAACTTTCCCTTTTGCCTGAGGAGTTTGGGGGTGCCTGAGATCTTTAAATTTTCCTTTACATGTGTAATATACTCACTTTTTGTCAAAAAGTAGACATGAGCAATGAGTTAGTGGAAGAGACCCAGGCAGAGAAAGGTTTCACGAAGGAAAGATCTCGTTTGTATTTGGGTCCGGGATTTTAGACTATGGAAGGTACAGGGAAATGATAACAAGGGTCTCATGAGGAAGGTGCTTTTGTTTTCCTGACTGTGTTTTCCAGGGAGCCACTGAAGTCTGGGTACTTTGCATTTATCCTGTGGCTAAAATGTCTATTTGCTTGCAGGTCTGGGTTGGTTTTGCTTTGGAACTCCCTGCTGAGTCTGAGCATCCTATACTGGTTTCTCTACTGAAGCTTGATGCCCTGAAGGCAGTCAATTTCCTTTTGACCCAAATCTTCCACGAAAAATTACTGACTTCTTACAAAGGTCCATGGGGAGAGGAGTTTTCAAAGCCTTTTCCGTGCTTATCTGGCCAACGTGGTGATGTGCATTCTCGTGATAATTTGTTATCACAAGGACTTTGTCGTTAATTAACACCTTCCCTGTGCCTACGGTCCTTGCCAGGCTGCTGAGCACCATTCCCCCATTTTACAGCTCGGCCCATTAAGGCAAAGCAATTTGCTTTGGATTTTGTTACAGAGGAAGTCAGCAACAGGGCTCTCTGCCAAACGCAGCATGAACTTCCTCGAATTGTAAGAGCCCTTTTCTTTTCCAGTTTCATGACAGCTCTCCTCCAAGCCTGTCTGAGGACTCTGGAAACTATCAGCTGCTATTGGCCCTGGTTCATAGATGTTACAGAAATTGTATGGGGGCCAGACAGGAGCCAGGGAAATCGTGAGCCAGGCTTCCTCCCCTGTGAAGTGGCTCTTTTGTACTGGCTGTTCTGGCCATAATACCTGCGTAATTTTTTTCTTTCCTGTCTGCAACCTAGCCTGCGGGGTGCTTTCTGTTTCCACTCCTCTTCCTACATAATGGGCTCCCTGGACAGTATCGCTCCCCTAGACTTCTCATCCCAGCTGCTTCCTTTCTGAGCCAGTAGCTCTCACTAAAGAGGCCAAAAGAGGACGTGGCAATGTTGAGTCATCGTGTGCAGTATGTGAGTAGCCAGTGTGTGAACACGGCTGCAATGAAAGGAATTAGCAGTAAGACACAACACAACCGTGTAGCCTCATCTGTTCAGATTGAGGTCTTCAAAAAGCATTGTAAGTTTAGGGGTGGAAAGGTGTGATACCTTTCCTCAGCCATCATAAGGGCTAACACTCCTATAACAAAAACAAGTTAACAAGAGAAAAACATAACACATTAATTTAATCAGTTTTACGTGACACAGGAGGCTTCAGAAATGAAGGCTCAAAGACCCGGGGAAAACTATTTTTATGCTCAGGTGTAATGAAGAATAGTTAGCTATGAAGGAATGTGATTGGACAAAATGGGTGTAATCTAATGGTTATAGCCTGGGGGGTGAGCGGACCAGCAAGTCCTGTCTGTTCAGATTCTTCTTGGACACTCTGTGTAGTATTTATTCCTCTTGGCTATGGGGCAGGACTTCTCTGGATGGAGGGTCTTCAAGGGAGAAGGAAGAGAGTGACCTTTCTAGGTTTTATGGTTGCTTTGGGGGAGAGGAGTCCTAGTTTCTAAGACTGGCTTTGAGGAAGAGGAATTCCGGTTTCTGTGGCTTGCATCCAGGGAGAAAAAGGAGTTTGAGAGAGGAGGGCAGGAGAAGGTCAGAGAGACCTTGCTTCTGAGCCTTCCAGTCTCCTTTGGTTCAAAGTACTCAGCATACCACAGTGTCACACTTTGGGGTATCATACTGGG